CAATCACCAGAGCTGTAGTTACCCCAGCGACCAAGAACCAAGTCTCCACAGAGGGACTCCTGAAGTGTCCTGGTCAGGTGCTCATAAAAGATGGAATTGAGGTTGTTGTCATCACCTCCTATAGGCAGACAAGAAATATGGTTAGTGAGTGCTCACCTCTGTGATGCACGATTTGTCATCAGGTTAAGATATATAAAAAGACTTTTTCTTCACCCATTTTAGTGGGTTATATGAGATCCTATATTTTCACCCTACAATCTCTGAGGCAATATCTGCTATGTACATGCATTGATAAGTGACAAATGATTGCAAATGACAAATTCTTATCTCCCACTGAGATTCCTGAGCTCTAGACCTGCACACTCACTTAACATCTCCCGAGTCTCCACCAGTCAGGAAACCTATTTCCCACCTTTCTATTTGAGTGATCATCTTGCCATCCCCACACCCATGAGGGACTTTTTTTTCCACTCCATTTTATCCCATTCTTATATTTTTAAAAATCTTTCTACCTTGCTCCATCTCTCTTACCTCATATCCAAAAGTAGCAATATTTCTCCTATGGACCACACCCCTGGCCCTGTGGCTCACTGTTTTCTCACCAGGACCTGCAGCCAGAATGAGCTTTCCAAGTTGAAAACCAGAATATGATACTCAGCATCATCCCACCTCATTTCCTAAACCTTCTCAGTCCCCCTGAGACGAAGAGGACTTCTTTGCACGGCCTGCAATAGGGTGACTGTAGACTTGGTCAATCACAGGTCAATCACAGAGCCAGACTGTCCTGAGTCACCCAGCTCAAGAGGCACTGTGCTGTCTGTTCCTTGCTTTCCTTCCCACTCAACACAAATCTGTGCCCAGTCCAGAAACCCATGTGTCCCGCTCGCCTGTGCTCTGTTGATGCTGCCCCCACCCCAGGCTGCCCCTCTTAACCCTTAGCCAGAAAATTTCTGGTTACAGGCTCTCAGCACTGTGTTCCTCTTTGAAGCACTTATTTCTGGAATTTTGTTATGGTTTACATAGGTATAAAATTATTTGATTAACATCTGCTTTCTCTACTGCATCATAAATTCAATAAAGACAGGTCAAGATCTGACTTGGCTTATGCTTGCAGCCTAGTTCGGTACTGGCAGAATGTGCAACCTGTGGTGGGAACTATCTGTTAAATATAGATGACATCATAGGTCATAGTTTAAGAGAAATGATTTTAGGAACACACCCCTCAAGTAATTCTGGGACATTTTTTGTTATGTGTTAAAGTCAGTAAGGTATAATTTGCAGATACTAAACAGCAAAAATTTATATTTATATTTAGGCTTATACATGCTATGATATATAATATAATTATTGCTAGTATTACATATTATATAAAATATATCTTTTATTAATTATTACATATTATATAAAATATATCTTTTATTATAATATAAATTACATATGTGCATATATGTAAATTATCATTTTCTATGTATAAATCAGTGCCACATATTGGTAAGTTCCATAGGCACACAAAGCCTGCTTACTTGCAGAACACTTCATGCAGAGTGAAAGCCATCCTGCCCAGGGTACCACTCCAAGAGTCCTGAGAAAAGCAAGCCATCATATGACTACACTTAGACCTGGCACCCTCTGTGCTGTGTGCGCATCTGTGCTTTTCCTTCTTCCTTAGGGAGCACTGGTCCTTTGCACTACAATGTGTTTATCTGTAGTGGGCTGCAGCACGTTGGGGTTGTGGCCAATTTAGGTGATTATAGGTGAGACCTCTATGGCTATTCACTGACTAGTAACTAGGACTTTGAGTCCCCCGCAGTGAACATCTGCAGTGCGAAGGCTGCACTCCACAGTGACTATGAACTTCCGTGTCTCCAGCAAAGACCTGGAGCTCTAGTTCTGCCTCTTCCCCAGGAACTAGTGCAGTCAGGGGCCATTTGCCTGATAGCTGTAGGTACTCTAACTGAGTGGATGGTGAGGCCCAGGGAGGATGAAGAAAGGATGCAGGAAGGGAATGGGATGACAGAAACCCTGCTTCCCGGTGGAAGGTCAGGGCATGCATGGAGAGGGTGGAATTGGGCCACGTGGTCCCTGCTGGATATTCCTGTTTCTTCCCTTCCTCTGGAATCTCTCAAGCTGAAAGATCTGAGTTTTTAAAGAGAGGATTGAAAAAGTAGAAAGTCTCCTTGGTCTGTGGTCGTGTGGGTAGAAGTTCTAGAAGAGAAGAATTTATTTTAGGAGCAGCTATTCTTGGGGGTGGGGTACTGGCTCTGGAAAGCCAGAGAGGCACAGTATTGCTCTAAAGAAGAAATGTCTGAAAGTTAAAATCCAAGATGCCCCCTGCATTTTCTACTGGAGTGAAACAGGTTCTGGAAAATCCAAGATAACAGGTCTCACTGAAGTATCTGCTCTGTGCTGGTGGGACATGGGGCAGGATGGTGGGTTCAGCAAGGTGGAGACGTCCCAAGTTTACTTACATATGCAGAAGGGCACAGCCTGTTGCTAAGAAGTCAGTGCAGTAAGATTATGAGATAGTGAGGATCTTTGCTGAACTGCCCCCAGTTAAAACCTGCATTGATGAGGGTACACTTATCACCCAATTATGACCACTGGGAGGAGCTGAGTGCTGAGTGCACCACATGCTTGAATAAGGCATCAGTTGGCTTGGCCTTCTCCGCACAGGAAGCTGTCTGACCTGCTCTTATGCTCATTTTCTTCGACAAATCATAGACATCCAAGATACTAATTAAAGATGACTTTTAGACTCTAGTATTTTAAAGGAAAGACCTAAATGAGAAATTCACAAGTGTTCAAACTATTTGACATTTGAATAAAACAAGCCAATTAAAAATCACTAAAAGTAGAGATTTGACTCTGGGTATCTTCCTAGTACACACTGACCACACATCTGCATAATTAGTGAAAATGAGAGGATAATGATGATCAGCTGAAAGTATTATGTGCTTATGTAACTGTCCACAGAGATGACACTGGGGGCCTTGTTATGTCACAAAGTTTTACAGCTGTACACCAAGAGAGTTTTGTCACTCCTGTTAGAGGACAGAAAGTTCTACAGCAAAAATTAGCCTGGCTCTCCATATTTTTTAATTTATTTTATTTTTATTTTTAAATCTGATTTTATATTAATCATATAGATGCAATTCAAATACAGATAGTACTGACTTGAGATGGTTTGACTTAACAATTTTCAACTTTATAATGATGTGAAAGCAGTATAGGTTGAATAGAAACCATTTTTCAAATTTTGAATTTTTATCTTTTTCTGGGCTGGCAGTATGTGGTCTGATTGTTTTATGATGCTGGGCAGCTGCAGCCAGACCTGTGATCACACAGGGAAATAACTGACCCTCCAATGTGCTTTGTTGCGAAGGTATGAAGTTTTGCAAGCTGAAGGTATTACACACATTTTCAACTCAATAGTATTTTCAATTCTACAGAGTCACAAAAGCATCCATATTGATAATAGGAACAATAAAATTCTTTCAATAAAAGACCTGTGGTTTTCAATTACAGTTGAAATTTGCATTCTGGATAAGAGGAAGGAAGAGGTAAAAATGGCTAAAAATAAAATAGGTTACAAAAAGAAGAAAGTCAAATAATTTTCTAGCTGATAAATCCTTCTATAAGATTAATTTTGGCCAAAGTTTCTTGATTCTGGTTCCTAGAATGGTTTATCTTTAAAGACAGTATAAGGCTAATGCTTTTCCAAAAAAATAGATTTTCTTTTAAAAGACCATCCCGAAGTTTATGTGTTTGGTCTCTCTCTTTCTTTGTTACCGGGAATCAAACTCAGGACCTTGCCCTTGTGAGGCAGACGCCAGCACCACTGGGCTAAATCCCCAGCAAGACCATCCCAATGTTTGTAACTTGTGTTTGATGTTTGTCATACACAAAATAAAGTATCTTAACATAGTTATTCCATGCTGAATAAGTACCTAATCAATTCTAAATAATGGAGGAATGCATTTCCAAACCAAATCAGGCTGCTTGATCAGTCTGCTTACTTCGTTTTATTATATAGTTGGTATATTTACCAAGATATTCATTGTCTCCACTAAGATTTTAAAAAGTGTACTTACTTTCCCCTTTAGGGATCCATCTATATAACAAAATGCAGAAATAGAAAATAGAGTAGCAAAAGGTCTTCTTACCTGCATCCCTTTCAATTTGGACCGCCAATCTTGTGTTGGAATTGTCTACTCGCCTTGTGCTAGAAGGGGCCACAAAAGAGTAGGTGGTCAAGAATAGCTCCTGCCCAGCCGGAGAGCTGGTTTACAGGGCCGAGCAGTGAGCAGAACACATAGAGGAGACCACGCTTAAAGTGGAGGGTGCTGTAGAAAGAGAGTTTCATTGTAAAAGAGTGGGGTACAGGCACCAGAAGTATGCTGAAGTTAGAAATGAGCAGTTCTCTGACTTGAGAGGATGGCCTTGTGTCAGAAAAAACTTTGAGCACCAGATCCATGGGGTAAAAATCACGAATACGAACTTCCAGGAAGAGCCCCCCACCTTTAGAACCCAAGAGCAGCATTCATTCACAGAGGAATTTCTCTTTCCAGGTCGATTCTAGAACATCAGTACTCACTGTCTCCACTTGCTCACATGATTTGGGCACACTCTTTCTTATAGACCTTTTTTTAGGTTGAACTTTTAACATAAAAATACCTCTTACAAACTTAGGAGGTGACAGATGGTCTGCAGCCATGGTGACAAATGGCCACCAGAACCAGTTTTGAATATGATTCCTCCCTGACAGCTCACCTTGGTTCACAACTCAGAAATCCATGCAGTGGAGACCACCCCTTGCTTCTGAGTCAGTGATGAGGGACAGACTTGCTCTAGACTTCTGAGTAGGGATGATCAACAACAGCCTCTACAACTGACCTCTTACAGATGCAGACCACCCATGTGTACCCTTCAATTTCACCTTTTCTCAAATTTCACACATGCCCAAAACTCTTTTTAAAAAGTAATAGTCTACTCTGCTATTCTGCCTTTCTGCATCAGAGATATATTGTGGTTTCTGCATTCTTTCAATGATGAAATAAGAAATTGGTGTCAAACCTCCAAAACTGATGAGGTTCAACAGTGATAAACATGGCAGTCTCATATTGTCCAAACTGATGTGTTAGCCGCTGAAAAATGGATTTCAAAAAATTCTTGTCAGTGCTGAGCACAGAGTGAAAACGTTGAGGGTCCACCAACATGTTGGAAAGCCAGGACTGTAACCCACCAGGCCTGTTTTGTGGTCATCCTGCCCTTTGCTTTCCAAGATCCAGCCACAGAGTCCTCTTTCTCCCCATCGGCTCTGGGTACCACCCTCCCCTTTATCTTTTGCAACTGTTGCTCCCTGTCCTTGCAGCTGTCCCTTTATATCCCCTCACTGTTTCTCTCTGGCCTCTCATCCCTTGTGTCTCCCCCACTTGCTTTCTCTGGAAGCTGCTGTGACCTTTGAACCAGGTGATTCCCTTCTTTGTGCTGTTTTTCTCTTCCATACTTTTCTTTCTGTACTGGAGATTGAACCCAGGAATTTTCCATCGGGCTATATCCTAGCCTTTTTTATATTTTACTTTGAAACAGGGTCTTCCTAAATGCTTAAACAGGGTCTTCCCAAATGCTCAGGCTAAACTGGAATTCATGATACTCCTGCTTCAGCTTCCCAGAGTCCTGGAATTACAGGTGTGCACCATTATGCCTGGCCACTCATGTTCATGCAGCACCTGCTTGTGTTGTGCACCTAGTACAGGTACTTTCCAGTTTCTGGATAATTGTATTCACACAGCTTCCTTCTGAGACAGATGCTGTTGTCACTCCCACTTTTGCAAAGAACACAGTTAAGCGCCAGAGAGATGCAAAGCGCCCAAGGGAATGGACTGAATAACTGGAGGAGCCAGGATTCGAACCCAGGTCAGCTGACTCTGGAGACTTCACTCCACAGCACATCCTACACATCTCTATGCTTATCTGACTAAATCTACCTCTTAAACTAGACTCTACATGCCACGGGAGCAACATTTTGGGTTTTAATTGTCACACAGTAGTCAGTAAGAAGTTGCTGAATTAGTGAACAGCCAAAGATAAGGCTGTGGGTTTGGTCCCCATGATACCTGTAGGAAGAAGGAGACAGGCTATCACTTGGTGTCACTAATTTGGCTTATGTTTAAAGACAACCATTGACATACTCCACATGACTTAATACATGGCAAGCATTTGTCAGGAATGGTGCTCAAGAAGGTTTTACAGTGTGTACTTTGTGAACTTGTCTTGTGGGAATCAGAGCAAATAACAAGATATTGGGAAGAAAATACAATTTGAATAAATAAAAAGCCCTACATTCCAGGGAGGGAAACCTCTAGTTTTTCTCCCATGCCTGCCTCAAACACTGGACAACCGCTGGGCCAGCTCCCATGTGAATGAAGACGAACCGATAACCTCGCGGATGGCTTGGAGAACGCCGTGATTCTGTTGCGTCTCCAGAAGGCCATGTGCCCCACAAACCACTCTGCCACTGCTTCAGTTTTCCTTCCAAACACCCGCATGGCAACTCTGGAAATAAAAGAGCCCAGGGTAGCAGAAAAACAAAGCAAACAACAAAATTCTTCCTAATGAAGGCTGAAATCCCATGTCTGCATGGTCGGTCCCTAAATGGAATTTTAATTTCACCTTAAGACCTAGGACAAATGGAATTTTCAGCAGCAGAATAAACAATTTTTACACTGGTACTGAGCCAAAAGAAAGTCATTTACCAGACTCCTTAGGGAATGAGAACACCCTCTGAAACAACATTCACTGGAAAGCTTTCTCTTCAAAGGCAATAGCCTATTTGGAATGCACAGTGCTAACTTCTGATGAGCAATGGCTCCTTGAGGCCACCAGGCACCCCTGGGCCTCTGGCTCCCCGTCACTTCCCTCAGAAGGTGAGGTGTCAGCCACTCTGGGCAATCTAAGCCTCACACTAGTAACTTCCTCCTGCAAATTCTGTGCTTACCACTCCAAGTGCTAATTAGCTCAGTAATTGGATTTCTGCCTCAACTGTCCTGTCGCATAACATCAAATTTGTTGCTCAAAGAGAAAGTGGGGCTTAGAACTCACCCTCAGTCTCAGGGGGAGCATGCGAGGCATTAGACTTGTGATTGCATGTGTGATGTTCTTAGCCCTTGCTTGATGGTCACTATGCACTGTTGGATAGTGTCATCCTGAGCTACAACCACGAACCTCCTGAGGTTTCTCCAGAGAAGTGGACTCACTGTGAGGGTCCTCTCCCCATGTGAGCAGACAGCAGGGCTGGTTTCACTCTCCAACGGGCCTTCCCACTCCCAGGTCTGTTTCCCTAGGCAAACACTGGCTTTCTCCTGTGGTTTTCTCAGAGCAACTTGAATGATTTAACATTAGTTTAATGATACTACCTTAAATTCCTCTTTGTCAGGAGCTGACCGTCCCCACTGGAGGAAAGATAGCCTCTTTAATAAATGGTGTTGGAAAAGCTGGATCTCAACCTGCCAAAGATTAAAACAAGACCCTTATCTTTCACCATGCACTGAATTAAAATCCGAGTGGATTAAAGATCTAAATATTAAAACAGAAACACTAAACTTGCTGGAAGATAAGTTAAGCAGAACTCTTGAAGACATTGGCATAGGAAAAGACTTTATGAACAAATCCTCAGTAGCACGGGAATTAGCAGAAAGAATCAACAACTTGGATCTATCCTATTAAAAACCTTCTGCACTGCAAAAGAAACCATCAACAGAACTAAGAGACAATCTACAATGTGGGAAAAAATTTTTACCAGCTGCTCCTCAGACAAAGGACTATTATCTAGAATATATAAAGAACTCAAAACAATCAGCCCCCCCAAAATATAAAGACCTGATTCAAAATGGCATCTGAAATGAACAGACATTTCTCAAAGAAGAAAAAGCAGCAAGTAAATATATGAAAAAATGTTCCACATCACTGGTCATTCGAGAGATGCAGATGAAAACAACACTGAGATTCCACCTCACCCCACAAAGAATGGCTGCTATCAAGAAATCACACAATAACAAATGTTGGTGGGGATGTGGGGAGAAAGGAACCCTTCTCCATTGTTGGTGGGAGTGCAGACTGGTGCAACCACTATGGAAATCAATATGGAGATAACTCAAAGAGCTGGGACTAGAGGTTCCATTTGACCCAGCCATCCCGCTGCTGGGTATCTTTCCAAAAGAATTAAAGGCATCATACCACAGTGATATATGTGCACTATGTTTATAGTGGCACATTAAAACTTGGAAACAGCCCATTTGCTCATCAGTTAGAAACTGGTTAAAGAAGATGTGGATTTTCTATAAAATGTAATACTATTCAGCCATAAAGAATGAGAAATTAGATTCATTCATAGGAAAATGGATACATATTGAGAATATACTCCTAAGTGAAATAAATAAGTCACACATGTGTAAATACCGAATAGTCTCTCGGGTGTGAAATAAACTATAATAGTACATAAAATTCTAATGAGATAATTGACAATGTGAAATAGGAAGAAAAGGGGCTAAAGGTGTAGGGAAAGTGGGAAGGGTAGGGGAAAGGTGATAATGGAAAGAAAAAATATAGGAGAAAATGAAAAAAATGGAAATAAAGTGTTTGTAAAGGGGAAGGGGAGGAGGGGGTGAAGGGAAGGCAGGGACAAGGGGAAAAATGAGAACCAAGACCTGTCATGTAAAGGTACAAGATCGCAATAATAAATGTAACTGTACTGTATACCTAAAATGTACCAATAAACTCAATAAAAAATAAATTCCTCTTTGTCAGCATATATCAACTATTTACAGTGGAAACATTCCTATAATTTGCCCAACATGATTAGCTGGAGTGAAAAATTTGATGGTGTTTGTACCGCAAGCAGACACAGGTGGGGTCAAGAATGGAAGAAATCCATCTATTCCTGGGCAGGGTTTCCTTGGGGAGATCTGCACAATCAAGGCAGCTGCAGTTTCCATGAAAGGTACCAATTCCTTGTGAAGGGGTACGTGCAAGAGGCACATCTGGGTTTGGCTTTCATTTTCACGCTGCTGCTCTGATAACCGCATTCATTCCAACAAAGTCAGTGTTGCCATGCTTGCTGCTGGTTCCCATGTGCCCCAGGAAGGCTTGGTAAGAGGGATGTTTTCTGAGGACAGGATGGCCAGACCAATGAGGCAGCCTGCTGTTCTGTGGGCTTTGCCTTTCTTAATTTGTCTTTCAAGACCCAAGCACAGCTCAGTGTGGCCATTTCTTCCAATTGGCAGACACTCTTTGATAATTTGGCTGTTGTGTTGGGTGCTTACCTTCTTGAGATTTTGTCTGAATTCTCTAGTACCTTGAAGACTTGGGGAAACCAATGACTTTAAATTATAAGAAAACTGTTGATTTTTTCCCTTATATTTCACTTAGCTCTTTTAGTTGCCTTTACTAGGGAGGATTGGTCATAAGGACCTACCAAGTCATTACTAGTAATGAGCTACTAAGGCATTTAGTAGAAATTACAGAAGGGTGGGTTCTTTCTAATAGCCTAATATATAACCAAGGATTTGAAATATTCCTGAATGGTATATCTCATATCTGTTTTTGTGCATATGTACTGTGTATGGGTGTATGTGTGTTCTGTCATATATACTAGAGCTACATTCTTAATTATGTTATTTAGGTCTTCTATATCCTCATCTGATTCGGAATTGCTTAATTGGTCATGAATGAGAAAAAGTGAATTACCTTTCCAACCATGGCTGTGTTTTTATTTTTTAATCATGTTTCTTTTTTATTTTTTCCTTTGTGAATCTTGCAATGTAATTTAAAGCATTGATATTTATCATTTACCTTCATTGTGAATCTTAGTTTTTAACATTACAAAATGTTCTTGATCCTGCCAGGAATTTAGCTCAGTGGTTCTGCAGCCTGCCTTGAAAGCATAAAGTCCCGAGTTTGATCCCTGGTACAAAAAAAAAAAGTCCTTGATCTTAATAGATTCTGCTCCAAATTCTTATATGTTTAAGACTAAACCACAATCGTGGCTTTTTTTTTTTTTTGGTACCGGGGATGGAATTTGGGGCCCTGCACTTGGGAACCACTAAGCTAAATCCCCAGCCCAACACAATTATAGCTTTAATTTGTTAATCTTTGCCTAATACTTTTACTACTTTTCTCATTTTAGCTTTTCCAAATCACCATATTTTTAAGCACATTATACTATGGTATGATTATAAAATCACAAAAACAAAACTATAGAATTATAAATCATAAGATAAAACTATGAACAACACAATTAGAAACAATCCATGAGTCAAAAATAAAGTTTAATTGGAAATGAAAATACACCGAACTGAAAGAAAATACAAATATACATACAATATTATTTGGCCTCAGCTAAAGCAGTGCTAAAAGAGAAATGCATAGTACTACCTTTGGTGTTTTATATGAGGACACATTGAAAATCCAAAATTATAAAAATTTGTCCTTATATTTTCTTTTAAGAGTTCTATAATTTTAAGTCTTCCACTATGGCTTTCAGCTATTTTGTATATTTTGAGTTAATTTTTGTATATGGTATGAGAGAGGATACAGCCTCTTCTGCATACAGATCCCAGTCATCCTGGCCCCATTTGTCAAAGAAGATGCCCTTTTCCCCACTGGACAGGCTTGGCACCCTGTGGAAAATCATAGATGTATGGATTTTTGACTGTCTTAGAATTCTACCCTCTTGACCTACCAGAATTATGTCTATCCTGTGCCTAGACCTATTTTATAGCAACACTATAACTACGTAGTCAGTTTTGAAACCAGTAAGTCTGGTCCTCCAACTTCACCATTTTAAAACATAGTTTGGCTATTCGTGGTCCCTTGAAATTCCATATGAATTTAGGATGAGCTTCTCCATTTATGAAAAAGGTCAGTTATAATTTAGACGGTAATCTACATCAACTTGGGTGTACTACCTTCCTAACAACGCTGTCTTCAAATTCATGAATATGCATATCTTCTATTTATTTATAGCTAGTTTTTTTCCAATGAGGTTTACAGTTTTCAGTGTTCATAGCTTCCACTCCATTGGTTAAACTTACTCCTAAATATTTTGTTCTTTGAATGCTATTACATACTGAATTGTTTTCTTACTTTCATTTTCAGATTGCTGCTATATACAAATATAATTAACTTGTGTATGTTTATCTTGTATCCTGCAAATTTCCTGAATTCAATTATCAAGATTTAATAGTTGTTTTGTGGGTATTTTTAAGATTTCTTATATATAACACTCTCCATCTGGTGAACAGAGACAGTTTTGCTCCTTCCTTTCCAGTACATTGCTTTCCTTGCCTAATTGCCCTATCTAGAACTTCCAGTATGACGCTGAGTGGAAACGATGACAGTGACCATCCTTGTCATGTCTGTGATCTTAGTGGGAAAGCTTTTAATCTTTCCACACTAACAACAGTGCTATGTGTGGGGTTTTTATACATGCTTTTTATCGTATTGAGAATATCCCCTTCTATTCCTATTTGTTTAGCGTTTTCTATTCATGACAGGGTTTTGTATTTTTGTGAAATGATTTTTTGATATCAACTGAGATGATATGCTTTCCTCTTTATTCTATTAATATGGTATATTATATTGATATATTTTTATGTGTGGAACCACCCTTGCATTTTAGGGCAAAACTCACTTTTTACACTGCAGAACTCTTTTAGTACCCTGAAAAGCTTGATTTACTAGGTTCTCGGGACTTTTTGCATCTATATCAGAAGGGTTATTGATTGGTTTGAAGTTTATTTTTCATTGGAGGATTTTCTCTAGTATTAGTTTCAGGGTAATATTGGCCCCGCAGGATGATTTAAAGGATTGCTCTTCTTCCAGTTACATTTTAGAATAGTTTGAGAATGACTAGCATTAATTATTCTTTAAATATTGTATATAATCATTCTGAGCATTTCTTTTACTTTGTTGGGAATTTTTGGGGTTAGTGATTCATTCTCTTATTATGGGTTTATTAACATTTCTCTTTCTTCTTCAGTCACTTTTTAGTTAATTGTTTGTGGGTTTCTAAACATTTCTACATTTCATCTAGGTTAACTAATTTATTGAAATGAAATATCTCATAGACCTCCTTTATACTGCTTTTGTTACAGTAGGCCAATAAAAACGTGCTGATTAATACTAATTTGAGCTGGTGCCTCTACATTCTAGCTAAAGGTTCATCAATTTTGTTAATCTTTTCAAAGAACTAACTTTTGGTTTCATGTTTTCTATTATTTTTCTATTCTCTGTTTTATTTATCACCACTGTAATCTCTTCATTTCTTCCTGTCTGCTTGCTTTGGAGGTTTTTGACCTCTTTTTCTAATTCTTTAAGGTGGAAGATTAAGTAATTTATTTGATAGTTTTCTTATTTTTAATATAGACATTTAGAGTTATGGATTTACCTCTGAACATTGCTTAACCTACATCTCATAAGTTTCACTATAATT